CTAGAGCAAACTGGGAAAAAAGATGCATTTATATAAATTTATACCAAAGTATACATTTCAACCAGAGCAAGCAAGTTATTATTTTCTTTACAATTGCTGCCTATCATATTCTCTGAATTTATCCTCCACCTTCCTTGTCGATGATGCCCCATGCATCTCTTATCTCCGGTGTCAGCAGCAACCTGGGCAGAAAAGTCACCCTGGGATTCTCCCATCCAGTTGCCCTGCACCTGTGCTTGATTTCACCTGCGCCACACAAGGCGATTTAGAGTCTGGATCCCTTTGATTTTTTTTCCTGTGACCTTCTTTAAGAGCCGTAGACCAGAAACCACGTTTAGCGTTCTCGTTGGTTACTTTGTCCTTTCAAAAGAGAAACGCTTCCGGGCAATTTTTGGAAAGTCTATAGAGTGGACCTCTTTGCTGGAAGAAGGTTGACTGAGGTGGGGGGGAGAGATGGAGACCACTCCTTAACTGAGTTTGGGGTCCATTTCCAGGGCACAAGCCGACCGTCTCATTACCACGTTCTCTGGGATGACAATCGCTTCTCTTCGGATGAGCTGCAGATCCTCACTTACCAGCTGTGTCACACCTACGTGCGTTGTACTAGATCTGTTTCAATCCCTGCGCCAGCCTACTATGCACACCTGGTGGCCTTCAGAGCCAGGTACCACTTGGTGGATAAAGAGCACGACAGGTAAATAAGATAGCAGGGGTGGATGGATACGGGCAGTGGTGGGATTCAAATATGCGAACAACTGACTCTCTGCATGGATGCCGTTCTGGGCCTGGGCCACAAAAAATTAGCTACTGGTTCTGCCGAAGTGGTGCGAACTGGCTGAATCCCACCACTGGATGGATGGATAGATAGATAGATAGATAGATAGATAGATAGATAGATAGATAGATAGATAGATAGATAGATAGATAGATAGACAGACAGACAGACAGACAGACAGACAGACAGATGATAGATTATTGATCAATTGATATAGATGGATGGATGGATGGATGGATAGGCAGATAGATTATTGATAGATAGATAGATAGATAGATAGATAGATAGATAGATAGATAGATAGATAGATAGATAGATATAGATAGATAGATAGGCAGATTAGATTATTGATCAATTGAGATAGATAGATAGATAGATAGATAGATAGATGGATGGATGGATGGATGGATGGATGGATGGATGGATGGATGGATGGATGGATGGATGGGCAGGTAGATTATTGATCAATTGATAGATAGATAGATAGAGATAGATAGGCAGATGATAGATTATTGATTAATTGAGATAGATAGATAGACAGACAGACAGACAATAGATTATTGATCAATTGATATAGATGGATGGATGGATGGATAGGCAGATAGATTATTGATCAATAAATAGATAGATAGATAGATAGATAGATAGGCAGATTAGATTATTGATCAATTGATAGAGATAGATAGATAGATAGATAGACAGATAGATAGATAGATGGATGGATAGGCAGATAGATTATTGATCAATAGATAGATAGATAGATGGATAGGCAGATAGGCAGATAGATGGATGGATAGGCAGATAGATTATTGATCAATAGATAGATAGATAGGCAGATTAGATTATTGATCAATTGATAGAGATAGATAGATAGATAGATAGATAGATAGATAGATAGATAGATAGATAGATAGATGGATGGATAGGCAGATAGATTATTGATCAATAGATAGATAGATGGATAGGCAGATAGATTATTGATCAATAGATAGATAGATAGATAGATAGATAGATAGATAGATAGAGAGAGAGAGAGAGATAGATAGCCAGACGATAGATTATTGATTAATTGATAGATGATAGATAGATAGATAGATAGATAGGCAGATGATAGATTGTTGATCAATTGAGATAGATAGATAGATAGATAGATAGATAGATAGATAGATAGATAGATACAGTGGTGGGATTCAAATAGGTGAATAACCGGTTCTCTGTGTGGATGCCGCTTCCGGAAGTCCATTCTGGGCCTGGGCAACAAAAAATTAGCTACCGGTTCTGCCAAAGTGGTGTGAACTGGCTGAATCCCACCACTGGATACAGGCATGAATGCAGGTGGTCCTCGACTTAACGACCAGGCCATCCTTTTAGCGAGCCTTTGAAATTTCAACAGCACTGGGGGAAAAAAGTGACTTACAAGCAGTTTCCACGCTTAACAACTGTTGCGGCATCCCCGTGGTCACAGGATCAAAATTGGGACGCTTGGCACCCGCACAGATTTATGACGGTTGTCCTATCCAGGAGTCAGGTGGTCCCCTTTTGCGACCTTCTGACAAACAGAGTCAGCGGGGAAGCCAGGTTCACTTAACCAACCGGGTTACTAGCTTAACAACCGTGGCAGGAAAGGTCGCAAAATGGGCCAAATTCATTTAACAAATGTTTCACGTAGCAAGAGAAATTTCGGGCTCAGTTGATTATTTTACAACTTCTAAACTAATAAAAACAGGACAGCCTTTGCCGAGAAAGAGGGAGACCAATTTTTGGTTGTGCCAAATAAATCTGCATCAAATTGTATAATCTTAACGAGACCCTAAAATGCTGAAGACGTAACCGGGCTCTAACCCCACAGTTTTGAAGACATGGAGATGCGTTTCAGTCTTGGGTTTAAATATGGTTTTTTTCCCTTCCTTCCTTCCTTCCTTCCTTCCTTCCTTCCTTCCTTCCTTCCTT